ATTTTGAAGGGTTTCTCCTTCTACAGAGAAGGTTCTCCCTTTCACCTATAGCAGTGTTTCTCAACCTGGGGGTCGGGACCCCTGGGGGGGGTCGCGAGGGGGTGTCAGAGGGGTCCCCGAAGAACATCAGAATATACAATATTTTCTGTTGATCATGGGGGTTCTGTATGGGAAGTTTGGCCTAATTCTATCATTGGTGGGGTTCAGAATGCTCTTTGATTGTAGGCGAACTATAAATCCCAGCAACTACAACTCCCAAATGTCAAGGTCTATTTTACCCAAACTCCACCAGAGTCCCCATTTGGACATATTGAGTGTTCATGCCAAGTTTGGTCCAGATTGATCATTGTTTGAGTCCACAGTGCTCTCTGGATTTAGGTGAACTACAACTCCCAAACTCAAGGTCAATACCCACCAAGCCGTTCTAGAATTTTCTGTTGGTCATGGGATTTCTGTGTGGCCAGGTCTGATTCAATTCCATTGTTGGTGGAGTTCAGAAAGCTCTCTGATTGTAGGCAAACTATAAATCTCCTCCAACCCCACCAGTACTCAAATTTGGGCGTATAAGGTATTTGGGCCAAATTTGGTCCAGTGAATGAAAATCCATCCTGTATATCAGATATTTACATTACAATTCAGAACAGTAGCAAAATTACAGTTAAGAAGAAGCAACAAAAATAATGTTATGATTGGGGGTCACCACAACATAAGGAACTGTATTAAGGGGTCGCGACATTAGGTAGGTTGAGAACAACTGACCTATAGTCTCATGGCACTGCAGAATTTTGTTTCAATATTCCAGCCTTCACATTAGTTCAGATTTGGTCACTTCTAATTGGAATTCAGAAAACTTGAATTCCTCAAGTGTACTTTGTACTAGGTACTAGAAATAAAAGAAAGACAGATAAAGCAGTTGCTCCAAAAAGGGAGATAGATAGATAGATAGATAGATAGATAGACAGACAGACAGACAGATAGATAGATAGATATAAATGTAATGTTCATTTGTGGGATTGACAGAGCTCAAAAACCGTTGGATGAATTGACACCAAATTTTGACACAAGACACCTAACAATGTGCGTCCTTCACTCAAAAAAATTGATTTTATCATTTGAGAGTTGTAGTTGCTGGGATTTATAGTTCCCGTACAATCAAAGAGCATTCTGAACTCCACCAATGATGGAATTGAACCAATCTTGGGACACAGGACTCCCATGACCAACAGAAAATACTGGTAGGGTTTGCTGGGCACTGATCTTGAATTTGGGATTTCTAGTTCACCTACATCCAGAGAGCACTGTGGACACAAACAATGATGCATATGGACCAAACTCTACATGAATACTCAATATGCCCAAATGTGAACACTGGTGGAGTTTGGGGAAAATAGAATCTCGACATTTGGGAGTTGTAGTTGCTGGGATTTATAGTTCACCTACAATCAAAGAGTATTCTGAACCCCACCAACGATAGATTTGGGCCAAACCTCCCTCAAGAAACCCCCATGTGGGCCACAGCAAAAGCAGTAAGGAGTGAGAAAGAAAGAGAAAGAGAAAGAGAGAGAGAGAGAGAGAGAGAGAGAGAGAGAGAGAGAGAGCGATGATGGGATAGATAGCAAATAGTATAAATATTAGATAAAGATAAAATGACACATTTCTTTGCTGCAAATGAAAATGTTTACAGAATCTTATGTTTATGACACTATATTGCATGAGTAGACAGACCATGTACCACCACAAATCCAACATCTACCTAAATCTTTAATGAATTCTCATATTTAGAATCTTTTAAAAAAATCTCTTTTCTATCCTCCACACTGCAGTTCACACACAGAACTTGATCAGCCAGAAAAGTGGTCCATATCCGCATGGCAATTGCCCGTTCTTGTTATATGCCATACAACTATGAAACATTTTCCAATTAACTAAAACGAAGATGATCCACCAGATTTATTAAACACTAGCTGTCCCCTGCCACATGTTCTGTGGCCCAGTCTGGAAAATAAAGTAATTAGAAAGTTTTGGTTTCTAATATATGTAATTTCTTTATGCCTGTGGGTAAACATTATTTTTTGCTGTCTCTTTGTCAGTGATGATGTGGAGATTGTCTGGTTTCCCTACTCCGGAACATGCAACAGAGGCCCATAGCCAGAATTTTGATTCATGGGGGGGGGGGGGGGGGGGGGGGGGGTTGAGTATAGGTGAAAGAGGGTCTACCCTAGCAAACTTTTTGTATCGTTACCCCAATACCCCCATGCATGTGGGGTATATTGAGAATGGTGATCAGATCATGATATTAATAAACATAACTATTTAAATAATGTACCAGTAAGGCCTTCTCGCAGACCACCATGAGAATTTGGGGGGGGGGGGGCTGAAGCCCCTATAGCCCCCTCCCCTGGCTACATGCCTGATGCAACATATCATTGTCCTTCTTTAGGGGTCCCTTTCAAATCTATGGTACTATATCTGCGTATGTGTGGATCATATATATGTATCTATATCTATGGCTGGTTAGCTCTTTGTCAGGAGGGCTTTGATTATGTTTTCTTGACCTGGTGAAGGGAGTTGGACTGGATGGCCTTAAGTATGGGGGTTCTGTGTGGGAAGTCTGCCCCAGGTCTGTCATTGCTGGGATTCAGCATGCTCTTTGATTGTAGGTGAACTATAAATCCCAGTAACTACAACTCTCAAATGTCAAGGTATATTTTCCCCAAACTCCATCTGTGTTCATATTTGGGCATATGGAATATTCATGCCACGTTTGGTCCAGATCCATCATTGTTTGAGTCCACAGTGCTCTCTGGATGTAGGTGAACTACAACTCTCAAACTCAAGGTCAGTGCCCTCCAAATCCTTCTAGTGTTTTCTGTTGGTCATGGGAGTCCTTGGAATTTGGTTGAATTCCATCATTGGTGGAGTTCAGAATGCTCTGATTGTAAGTAAACTATAAATCCCAGCAACTACAACTCCCAAATGACAAAATCAATTTTTTTGAGTGATGGTTACTCCTTGGGTTAGTAAGTGTCTTGTGGCCAAATTTGGTGGCAATTCGTCCAGTGGTTTTTGAGTTATGCTAATCCCACAAACAAACATTACATTTTTTATTTATTATAGACGTAGAGTAAAATTGTGAAAAAGTTAAGAAATTTTTGCCAGTGGAATCACTGCAATGGAGAAGTTGATATAGTGCAGTTCTTAAGGAGGTTGAAAGGGCTCCTGATAAAATGATAAGAAAGATAGGAAATAGATCTGCAGTCATAGCTTCTTTGAATGGGAAGGAGCAACCATTCTTAGCATTGAAGAATGTGAACTGAAATGCATACCATGGATGCAAATAGAGCCAGAATGGAAGAGTGGGCACTGAAGACCAGATCAGTGGCCACTTGGTGACCTTGAACAAGCCATGCTATACAAGCCTCAGAGAAAGGCTAAGGCAACCCCTCTCTGAACAAATTTTGGTAAGAAAACTTTCTGATAGGTTTGCCTTAGGGGGGCTTAAGGCAGAAATGACTCGAGGGCACACAATAGTCCTTGAGTCCTGGATTGGGGAAAAGGTGGAATAATAACAATGCCTGCTACTTAGTATTGCAGGTACAGATCCATAATGTAGTGTTACAGATATGTATTCAGTAAGGCTACTTAGCCTTACTATAAATCTACATAAACCTGAAGGCACAGAACAAGGAGTCTCTATTATTATTATTATTATTATTATTATTATTATTATTATTATTATTATTATCATCATCTTTATTTGTACCCCGCTAGCATCTCCCGAAGGACTCAATACAGCTTACAAAGGCCAAGGCCTCAAAAACATATAGCATAACAATACACAACTCAAAGCAAATCAAAATTAAAGCAATATCAAAAACAAGAGAACAATAAAACAATACACCAAACACAATAAAACTGGGCCAGGCCAAATGTAATGGGTACAGATTAAAAGTGCTGATGTGACAGGTGGTATGTCGGATTTTAGGGTAAGTGCAGTGTGCAAGCAATCTTAAAGTCTAATAAAGTGCTTCTGGGACAGGTTGTTGGAGTTTTCCTATTCTGGAAAGGCACGTCACAACAGCCAGGTCTTCAAGTTCTTCCTAAAGACTGCCAACGTAGGGGCCTGTCTAAAGTCTTTGGGGAGGGTGTTCCAGAGTCGGGGGTCCACCACAGAAAAGGCCCTGTCTCGCGTCCCCACCAGACGCGCCTGCGACGCAGGCGGAATCGCAAGCAAGGCCTCTCTGGATGAGCGAAGAGAACGTGTGGGTTCATAGATGGAGATGCGGTCACGCAGGTAGGATGGTCCCAAACTGTTTACGGCTTTGTAGGTAAGCACCTGCAACTTGAATTGGGTTCAGAAGATAAACGGCAGCCAGTGGAGCTCCCTGAACAGGAGGATTGACCTCTCTCTGTAGGGAGCACCAGTTAACATCCTGGCTGCCGCTCGTTGGACCAGCTGAAATTTCTGAGTCGTTTCCAAGGGCAGCCCCATGTAGAGTGCATTATAGTAGTCCAATCTAGAGGTGACCAAGGCATGAACCACCCTGGCCAGATCAGCCTTTGCGAGGTACAATCTCAGTTGGCGCGCAAGTATCAATTGTGCAAAAGCCCTCCCGGACACCGCCGACCTCTGAGCCTCAAGCGTAAGTGATGAATCCGGAAGGATTCCCAAACTGCGGACCTGTGGGGAAGTGTAACCCCGTCCAACACAGGTCTCTAATAAATCTTGAGCAAAGAGTGCATCTCCATTGCAGAATTAATGTTTGAAACCATTTTAATTGCCATGGCTCAATGCTATGGAGTTTTTCAATTTGTCGTTTGGTGAGCCATCAGCATTCGGGCAGAGAAGGTTAAAGACCTTGAAAAACTATGTCTTTAGTCTAGTATTTAGTGAGCTCCCAGAATTCCATAACACCAAGCCATGGCAATTAAAGTGGTGACAAGCTGCATTATTTCTACAGTGTAAATGCACCCCGAATAAATGATAGATTATTGCTTACTTTTTTTGGCTTCTTCAAGCTTGTCCTTGGCACGTTTTTCTGCTTGCAGAAGTTGCTGGATTCCCTGAGATTGGCTGGTCATTTTGTCTCCTTGATAGCAGGAAGTCCTTGGGGAGAACTGGAAGGAGGAAGGAGGCTTTATGGTGCTCTTACTGCGTTCTTTATTACCTGTGTTGTTGTATCAACATGAGAACACCCACTTTGTGCCCGCCTAGCCTGCTGACATGTATTTATGCTCTGGGAGGCAAAACAAAGAGTGGATTTCAGGAAGGCAAACAGACTCATTTTCTTTTTTTCCTCTGGCTTATATAGAATCATAGAATCAAAGAGTTGGAAAAGACCTCACGGGCCATCCAGTCCAACCCCCTGCCAAGAAGCAGGAATATTGCATTCAAATCGCCCCTGACAGATGGCCATCCAGCTTCTGTTTAAAAGCTTCCAAAGAAGGAGCCTCCACCACACTCCGGGGCAGAGAGTTCCACTGCTGAACAGCTCTCACAGTCAGGAAGTTCTTCCTCATGTTCAGATGGAATCTCCTCTCTTGTAGTTTGAAGCCATTGTTCCGCGTCCTAGTCTCCAAGGAAGCAGAAAACAAGCTTGCCCCCTCCTCCCTGTGGCTTCCTCTCACATATTTCTACATGGCTATCATATCTCCTCTCAGCCTTCTCTTCTTCAGGCTAAACATGCCCAGCTCCTTAAGCCGCTCCTCATAGGGCTTGTTCTCCACACCCTTGATCATTTTAGTCGCCCTCCTCTGGACACATTCCAGCTTGTCAATATCTCTCTTGAATTGTGGTGCCCAGAATTGGACACAATATTCCAGGTGTGGTCTAACCAAAGCAGAATAGAGGGGTAGCATTACTTCCCTAGATCTCGATACTATGCTCCTATTGATGCAGGCCAAATTCCCATTGGCTTTTTTTGCCACCACATCACATTGTTGGCTCATGTTTAACTTGTTGTCCACGAGGACTCCAAGATCTTTTTCACATGTACTGCTCTCAAGCCAGGCGTCCCCCATTCTGTATCTTTGCATTTCATTTTTTCTGCCTAAGTGGAGTATCTTGCATTTTTCCCTGTTGAACTTCATTTTGTTAGTTTTGGCCCATCTCTCTAATCTGTCAAGATATAAGTCTGTTCAGATGTTTTGAAAACACAATGGATCAGTTTGTCCATGATACATTGTTGTTGTTGTTTGAGCAACTATTAGCAAACAAATGCAAAAATAAAAAAAATCAATTCACAGTTTTCTTTATATTGTTACTTCTGGAACAGAACAATGAATGGCAAGGCACTCAATGGTTAAATATGACTTTTTCCAACAGACCGAGTTTGCATGAAATTTCTGCATGAAATAACTGGATGTCAAAGTCTGTAATAATGGTGTTTCTGTTCTTCGGGGACATGACTTAATGTAGAAATGTACCATGGTTTGCTATAGGATCACTTACAAGTTTTGGGTTGCATTTAGAAAGCTATTTTTGAGGTTCAGAGGCATAAGCATTATTCTTAAACATGTCAACCACCCCCAATCTTTCATTCCTCAATGTTTCCAAATAGCATGTGTCATCTCCATAGTATGGGTGTGGGACAATGTGGGAAGAAATAGTAGCGTCTTGCACAGTAGCACAAGATGAAGAAAGAAGATCAACTGCCCAAGTCAAACTAAGTACCTCATCACATTGATGAGGGGCAGTGGGGGGATTTGCCATGCAATGTGGCAAATCTGTGGGGCAGCAGGTGAAAACGGTTGCCCTATGTCCCTTATCTCATCCCTGGCTTCCCTCATTGTTCTCTACAGAACACAGAAGTCTCCCAGAGAAGCATCTTAGCATGCTGTCAGGATGCTTTCTATATGGAGTCCTACCAGAAATTGCCTTATGTCATGTGATGGCATCCGGTGGGCTCCAAGAAGGAGGTGTCTTAGCATTTTCCTACATGTGACGAAGTTTGAGTGAAATATTATTTTAATTAGAAGTCATTCAGACTCTTTATTTCTCTGTATCTTCTACTACTCCTCAAAACAAAATCCAGTGTCCTCTACTGCATCCCAGAATATATTAAGGCAGTTCCCAAGGACAAGCTGGAATGTGTCGCGAGGAGGGTGACTGAAATGATCAAAGGTCTGGAGATCCGTGTTTGTTGAGCCTCCTCTCCGTGGGAGTGCAATACTCTCATTCTCAATTAACAAACTTCCTACACTCATCTTGGTGACAAAGGCGATCATCTGTCTTGCACACACACACACAAAGGTCCTGATATTACCTGACTTGGGAAATAGATGGAGGGACCCTGGCTACCATCTCTATTCCCAAAGGATTATGCAAATTGAGGGTCACAGGGAGGTAGCTACCTTCAAGGTACATTTGATACAGGTTTGCAAATCTCTTGGGAAGACAAGCAGACAAATGTCAGCATGCTGGAAGAAGCAAAGACCACCAGCATTGAAGCGATGGTCCTCCATCATCAACTCCACTGGACTGGCCATGTTGTCCAGATGCCCGACCACCATCTCCCAAAGCAGTTGCTCTATTCCGAACTCAAGAATGGAAAATTGAATGTTGGAGGACAGGAAAGAGATTTAAAGATGGGCTCAAAGCCAACCTTAAAAACTCTGGCATAGACACTGAGAACTGGGAATCTCTGGCCCTTGAGCGCTCCAGCTGGAGGTCAGCTGTGACCTGCAGTGCTTCAGAATTTGAAGAGGCACGAATGGAGGGTGAAAGAGAGAAATGTGCCAAGAGGAAGGTGCATCAAGCCAACCCCAACCAGGACCGCCTTCCACCTGGAAACCAATGCCCTCACTGTTGGAGAACATGCAGGTCAAGAATAGGGCTCCACAGTCACCTACGGACCCACTGCCAAGACACCGATCTTGGAGGGCCATCCAAGATGGTGAAAATGGGAGGTCAATGAGGGATCGCCTAAGTAAGTAAGTACATTTGATACATTTAAAAATTGACATGATACACAAGTAATAGTAGTTAAATACAAAATATAAATTTCATTCATTTATTAAAGGGTTTGATTTAATAGAGTTTAAGGGTATAGCTGCTGCTAGGTCCTTCCGGAGCCTCTAGTGGCTTTGATATTTCTCACCTTTGGAGCCCTGCAAAATATTTAAAAAATAAAAAAATCATATTTTTTGTTTGAAGTCTTTTCATTGTCCAATAAATTTTTTGAGCGGGAGGGGGGTACCATGGCTCAACAACAACATGGAGCTCTGTGTCTGGTTGGAAGTAGCAATGCCTGTGAGATGGTCATGATATGGGCATGCTGGCAAGATGGACATGACACAGGTGATGGTGGCTGTGGCCACTGTGGATGGCAGACCAGTCTGAGTTGGATTGCAGCCATGTGTCCATGGTGCTTCCATGGGAAACTCTGAAGCAAAGCCAGTTTAATCCAGAATAACCTGCCATGCTCACCTGAAGAGCAGGAATACAATGAATATAGGCAGGAGTCAATTCAAGGTATGTCTGGGTTTTCATGGTTGTGTAGGCTCACCTCTGAAAGACCACACAACATGCCCTCCTAGTTTATAATAAATAAATAGTCTCTCTTTGAAAGATTGCCAACTGGTTATTTGAAGGCATCTTCTACATGAAAGGGTGTCTACTCCAATCCAGGGGATCTTGATGGGGATCATTAACCATTTGCCTCACGGAGAGCAGACAGAGCAGTTATAATGCACACTTGGTCATAATCTTCCCTGCTATGGTAAGATACATAGTTTTAATTATTTCTAAATAGTCATATAAACACATGAATTAGCTTGAGCAAACTGTATGGAAATCTGTGCCTTCTTCTGCCCAGCGTTTTTGGTGCTCATTTCCTCTTTTATTTCTTGATACTGTCCAGTTCTTAATATCTACTGCCTGGAATCTCTGACTCACACAGATGTATCTGAGGGGACAGACAGAAGTCCTTATTTTTTAGAGAAGTTACTGGCATTGATTTTCATCCACTGTAGTTACTTAATTGTAACTCAAAACAAAGTTTTGCTCAGCTCTTAAAAGCTGAAAAGCACCTCCCTGGAGACCTGCACAGGATATAAAACTATGAAAGAGAAAATGAAAGCAAACAACAGTGGAGGTCATAAGCATTTTGTATTGAGAGAAAATATCTTTAAATTGAACGTTGCTTGAGTTTTCAACTGGAAAACCTCTACCTCTTCCCTCCACTCACCCATCCACAGATCACAAAGTACTTTTACAGTCAAATGGGTCAACCTAATATATTTTGCTTATTACAATTCATTTTTTGGTGGAAATGGGAGGAGGAGGAAGAGCAGCAAAGATTTTAAGGGCAAAAAGACAACACAAAGAAAAAAAGGACATGGGGAAAATTATTATTATGATTATTATTATATTAACAATAATTATTAATAAGAATTTATATAAATAAAAATGTAATGTTAGTTTGTGGGATTAACATAACTCAAAACCACTGTACAAATTGACACAAAATTTGAGCACTATACCCCCAACAGACCAACGAGTGACCATCACTCATAAACCCCTCCCTAAAACCAGTGGAAAGAACTTCAAACCCCCAAAAGCTAAGTGATGTTGTTGATGATAATAATAATAATAATAATAATAATAATAATAATAATAATCCTTTATTTATACCCCGCTACCATCTCCCAAAGGACTCGGTGCGGCTTACAAGAGGCCGAGCCCAAATACATCAGTAAAAAAGCAACAACAGCAATACAGACAATAAATAAACTCATAAACAAAGCAATAAACAGTAACAATAACACCACGACGTATTAAAAACCTATGGCAGGGCCAAATGTAATAATTAAAATTTTTAAAATGCTGGGCATGACAAGGTGACATATAACTAGGATAGGTATTTGGAGAGAGATGGAGCAAGCAGACAATCCTAGATCATTAGTAAAGTGCGATTAGGGACATGTTGCTTAGGGTTTCCTTATTCTGGGAAGGCACACTGGAACAACCACGTTTTCAGGCTCCTCTTAAAGACTGCCAGAGTTGGGGCATGCCTAATGTCCTTGGGTAGCGAGTTCCAGAGTCGAGGGGCCACCACTGAGAAGGCCCTATCCCTCGTCCT